TGCCTTCTCCCCCCGCCACCTCGCTGCTCTCTCCCCCCCCCGAAGCAGTGGCGGCGGCGAGGGAGTTCACAGAGCATTCCCTGCGCATGCGCAGGGGCCGCTCTGTCACTTCTGGGGGGATTTAAGAATCCCCCCAGTATTTTTTCCGGGTTTTTAGATTTTTGTGCACACCTGGGGACTGCCCCAAGTGTGCACAAAAATCTCCCTCCCCCCCAGGTGCCCCCGATGCGCGGATATAGGTATCCGCACGCACGGGGGCGACTTCGCTATTAGTATATAGATTTTCACAGAAGGTAAAGGTTGACAGTTTATCAGAATTGTTTATATATTTAAATAGTATTGTAAATGATATGGTTGTTGTGCCCCTTTTCCTCTTCTTGTCACATATATTATGTCATCGCTGCTGCTATTTTAAAGTGTAACATGACATAATTAAATTTTAAAAAGTCATACCACTGTGCCAAAGTCGTTATATTCTTAGTATTCCATTGTCGTGCCAATATTATTTTACCACCGAATAGGAGATGGGTTAATAGATCCTTCTTCGTCTCACGCCCGCTGTTGAAGGCCTAACTTGTCGGCGTCTCTTTTCCAGACCCCCGTCACCGACTACGTCAATTGCTCCAAGGATATCCCGACGTACGTCTGCAACAAAAAGTCGAGCTGCAAGAGCTGCACGCTGGACCAGAACTGCCAGTGGGAGAGCCGCAACCAGGAGTGCATCGCCTTGCCCGGTGGGTCTCTTTATCTATTTAATCCCGCCTCTCCCCGTGTGAGCCCCGGAGCTCCTCCGACCGGCACCTCCTGGTGGTCCCCGGCCCGAGGGACTCCCGCTTAGCTTCAGTCAGGGCGGGGGCTTTTTCGGCCCTGGCCCCAACCTGGTGGAACGTGCTCCCACCCGAGAGCACGGCCCCGTGGGAGCCATTACAGTTCCGCAGGGCCTGTAAAGCAGAGCTGTTCCGCCGGGCTTTTGGTTGCGGTGGCGGACGTTCAACCATTCCGGCCCCCCTGGTTCTTGCCCCTTTCCCAGTGCCTGGCTGCTTTAGGGAACATTACTCTAATCTGGGAGAACCGGGTTTGATTCCCCCACTCCTCCACTTGCACCTGCTGATGTGACCTTGGGTCAGTCACAAGCTCTGGCACAGCTGTTCCTGAAAGACCCGTTTGTGCCATAGTTCCCTCAGCCCCACCCACCTCACAGGGTGTCTGTTGTGGGGAGGGGAAGGGAAAGGAGTTTGTAAACCGCTCTGAGACTCCTTTGGGTAGTGAAGGGCGGGGTATAAATCCAATCTCCTCTTCTTCTTTTACCTCACAGGGTGTCTGTTGTGGGGAGGGGAAAGGAAAGGAGTTTGTAAGCCGCTCTGAGACTCCTTTGGGTAGTGAAGGGCGTGGTATAAATCCAATCTCCTCTTCTTCTTTTACCTCACAGGGTGTCTGTTGTGGGGAGGGGAAGGGAAAGGAGTTTTTAAGCCGCTCTGAGACACCTTTGGGTAGTGAAGGGAAGGGTATAAATCCAATCTCTTCTTCTTTTACCTCACAGGGTGTCTGTTGTGGGGAGGGGAAGGGAAAGGCGTTTGTAAGCCACTCTGAGACCCCTTTGGGTAGTGAAGGGCGGGGTATAAATCCAATCTCTTCTTCTTCTTCTTTTACCTCACAGGGTGTCTGTTGTGGGGAGGGGAAGGGAAAGGAGTTTGTAAGCCGCTCTGAGACACCTTTGGGTAGTGAAGGGCGGGGTATAAATTCAATCTTCTTCTTCTTCTACTTGGGCACTGGAGCTTTTTATTCACTTGACATGAGGCGTGGGTTCGTTTTCATCGTTTAATGTGCCATCTGCTGTTTTATTGGTTTTACTGCTTTCATTGTTTTATGAATCTTATGTTATAAGCTGTCCTGAGCCCACTTGTGGGATAGGGTGGGGAACAACTTAAATAATGATGATGATTATGATGGTGATGATAATGATAATAAATAAAATAAAAATAGCCGCAGCAAAAACAACAACAACAACAACTATTATTATTTGGGGGAAAAAACCTTGGATAAAAGAACGGGGGGGGGGGGACTCAAAGTCCAGTGATTAATTACAAGAAAAAGGGGGAAAGGGGTGGTTGCAAAATGTTACATAGAGAGAGCGGAAACAGAAATATAACAACAGTGATGGCAGATCTACACAGACGTTTCCATAAAAGATTTCCGAATATCTGAAAATAAGTCCACACACAAGTCTACTCTGTATGCTTAGTGTTCCAATATTGATAGAGTCCTGAGGTTTTCGGTCCATCGCTTTACAGAAGGCGGGCATCCATCTCTCCAATTCTGTAACACAGTGTTGCAAGAGTCTTTGTACGTCCCCCGTGTACTCGCATGGAGCGTCGCGTTCGCCGTGTTGTTCCCACCTCTCCCCGTCCCCACGGCGTTCGCCGCCGACCCTCCCCCCAAACCTTGCAAGCGAAACCGTTTGCCCAACAGAGCCGTAAATAATGTATTCCGACACGCTGTGCTTTGAAATCTATTTGTAAGGCTTGCGCGTCGGAGGGCCCGGCCGCACGTCGCATTCATCCCGCGGAAAGCAGCCTCCGACTGAATTCCTCCAGAGACCGGCAGAGAAAGCCGGGGTGGATTGTAGGCAGACGCCCCGGGAAGCCAATTCCACCCGCCTGTCCCGCCATTGTTTACTTCTGGTTATCTTCTCCCTCCTTTAGCAGCTCTGTTGTCCCCAGAGATTCGGGGAGAGGGCACGAAACAATAGGCCGACGGAGAAAGGCAGTGGCGTCAGGGCCTCCGCTGTGTGCTTCTGTGCCGACGATTCTCTCCAGCTCTTTCTTGCCCCTCTCTCTGGGGGGCACTTTCAGGAGTCTCAACAATCAACACGGCTCTGCCTTTATATAACGGGATGGGGAAAAAAATAATAATAATGCGCAGCCGGGCATGCAGTCAATATCGTGAAGTACGGCCTGCGCAATCCTTCCCGTTTCTCATTGGTTCAGAGTGTGTTTATTGACGGATTGGAAACTTTGTGCCCTCTCCTTCCTCTTTATGTGCGCGGGGGCTTGATCTACTGTGGGGCGAAATGAGGCATTGCTAGATGGGACGGAGGTGGAAAAAGCGCAGAGGAGGGCGACTAAGATGATGAGAGGGCTGGAGCGCCTTCCCTCCGAGGAAAGGCTGAAGAGTCGGGGACTTTTCGGTTTAGGAAAGAGGGGACTAAGGGGGTCATGATGGTTGTTGTTGTTCAGTCGCACAATCGAGTCCAACTCTTCACGACCCCATGGACCACATCACGCCAGGCCCGCCTCTCTTCTGTCGTGCTCCGGAGTCTGCTTAATTTCATGTTCGTTGCATCGATGACACTGTCCAACCATCTCATCCTTTGCTGTCCCCGTCTTCTTTGACCTTCAGTCTTTCCCAGCATCAGGGTCTTCTTCTCCAGGGAGTGCTCCCTTCTCATTGGGTGGCCAAAGTATTTGAGCTTCAGTTTCATTATCTGGCCTTCCAAGGAACAGTCAGGGTCGATTTCCTTTAGGATTGACTGATTTGCTCTCCTTGCAGTCCAAGGGACTCTCAAGAGTCTGTGCCCCTGTTGTTCAGTCGCACAGTCGAGTCCGACTCTTTGCGACCCCATGGACCAAAACACACCAGGCCCTCCTGTCTTCCGCCGTCCTCCGAAGCTTGCTCAATTTCATGTTCGTTGCATCCATGACACTGTCCAACCATCTCATCCTTTGCCGTCCCCGTCTTCTTTGACCTTCAATCTTTCCCAGCATCAGGGTCTTCTTCTCCAGTGAGGGCTCCCTTCTCATTGGGTGGCCAAAGTCTTTGTTGACTGATTCGCTCTCCTTGCAGTCCAAAGGACTCTCAAGAGTCTTCTCCAGCACCCTAATTCGAAAGCATCTATTCGTCGGCGCCCGGCCTTCCTTATAGTGCAACTCTTGCATGATAGAGGTTTATAAAAATATGCAAAGGTTGGAAACAGTGGACAGAAAGAACTTTTCCTCCCTCTCCTCCCTCTCCCAGGACTCCCATGAAGCTGACGGGCAGTAGGTTCAGGACGGACAAAAGGAAATAGTACTTTACAGAGAGAGCGATTCAGATGTGGAATCTGCTGCCAGAGGATGTCGCGAGGAGGGATTTCTCTTGAGCCCCCCCCCCCCGAAAGCTGTGGAGATGGCAGTGGGAGAGAGTTTCCATCTGATTTCCCTTCTTCCCACATCACATTGTGATGACCGGGCCGTGGGAGTGGGGGCAGCCCCCCAAATCCCAGCTGGATCAGTGAGGGAGGGGAGGAAGGATTCGACCCTTCTCTGGGACTTCGTGCTCTCCCTTCCAGATGCCCCACATCTTCCAGGTGCGCCCAACTCCCAAGTTTGAGAAACCCTGGCTTAACCACTTCATTGTTGTCCCCAGCTGAATAAAGCCTCAATATCTGTAATTACTTGCTTGCAATTATCCATTGATAGCCTTCCCCCTAGCAATTGCACGGGCCCCTGTGGGTTCTACCTGGGTTGCTTTAGTGAGCCAGTTTGGTGTCGTGTTTAAGTGCGCGGACTCTAATCTGGGAGAACCGAGTCTGAGTCCCCACTCCTCGACATGCAGCGGCCCGTGTGACATTGGGCGACTCACAATTTCTCTCGGAGCTGTTCTCTCTAGAGCAGTCCTTGAAGGAGCTCTCTCAGCCCCACCGACCCCACAGGGTGTCTGTTGTGGGGAGGGGAAGGGAAAGGAGATTGTAAGCCGCTCTGAGACTTCCTCCTTTTCCGTGATGCCTTCCACAGCTCTTGGCACTGTGGCGTCCTCCTGTCTCTATTTATTGATTATTAAAGCTGCGGTGGCTCAAGTGGTTAAGACGCTGAACTGCAGGCTGTGGAAGGTCGGTAGTTCAGCAGTTCAAGACCCGAGTGTGCCGCATGACGGAGTGAGCTGCCGTCTCTAGTTCCAGCTCCTGCCAACCTAGCAGTTTGAAAGCAAGAAATTGCAAGTAGATAAATAAGGTACCACTTCGGTGGGAAGGTAACAGCGTTCCGTGCGCCTTGGTATTTAGTCATGCCGGCCACATGACCACGGAAACATCTTCAGACAGTGTTGGCTCTTCGGCTTTGAAACGGAGATGAGCACCGCAACCCTAGAGTCGGATTCGACTGGCTTTCAAGCAAGGGAACCTTTACCTTTACCTTTTATTGATTTTAAGACAAACAAACACATAAGAAGACAGTATATATATATATGTTTAGCACTTCGTAATAATCAGATCAGGATTAATAAACTCATTATACATTTACAGTAGTCAAATCTGAATTAATAGGTTAGTTATAACTTCACCATAATATTATATTGTCCTTATCAAATCTTATATCCCGTATTACAAGGCCTTACAAGTTATACTGGCTAACACTTTTGTTGTCGTTCTAACTCTTCTAGTATAGTTACCGTTTGCTACTAAACAATCTTCATACTCAATTATAATAAAGCCATAATACCTGTTAAATCATTTGGTATCTTAATCTCCATTAGAACTGCTACACAAACAATAGATTAAAATTCATTCTATCCCTTTAAGAGTAAAAGCAGAACACCAAAAATTCATATCTATCTTTTCTGTATACTTAGCTACTCTTTTTACAGTATAAATATTATTAGTTATTACACTGATAGTTAACATAATCAACTACCTTGCTGAATCTATTTAGCTATTTTTATCCTTTTCAAAATGTTAAACACCTATTATATAAATCACATGAATATACATGTTACAATTCACCTCCAAAAAAGCCTAAACAGTACCTTATGACCTCCTCTCATTCATTCTAGGGAAAATAAAATATTTTTTAAAGTAAAATAAGACTACCCTTTTATAAAGCAAAAATTTCTGCATACTTAAAGAGCTGTTCATTTATGTATGAAAATATCTATTTGTAAGTTAAAAAGCAAACTTATTTTATTTATTTATTTATGGATTTTATAAGTACAGAGAAAAAAAAGAACATCGTATAGTTACATTTTCGAGTCTAGATCCACCACAGTGTTTAAACCATACATATAGATTTGACCATCTCTTCCTATACAAATTATAATCTTTGTTTTGTAGTAAACCATTTAACCTATCCATCTCTGCAACTTCAGTCTATTTACTAATGCTTCCATTGAGGGAATTCTCTCCGTTTTCCAATTTTTGGCTAACAAAATTCTTGCTGATGTTATTATATAAGTTATAAGATAACAATCGCTTTTAACACAACTGTCTGGGAGCATATTTAGCAAATATATTTCAGGTTTTAATTCCAGGTCTATATCTGTACTTTCGTATATGATTTTACGAACCATGGCCCAATATTTATACACTCTTTTGCATTTCCACCACATATGGTAATAAGTACCGGCATTATTTTTACATTTCCAACAATTATTTGTCAGTGCTGGGAAGCACCTTGCAATTTTATCGGGAGACCAATGCCATCTATGAATTACCTTATATATATTCTTTTTATATGAAGTAGCTCTCAAAAATTTTGTGGCTTTCCAGGTTTTTTTCCAAAGATCTATCTCAATATTATAACCTATATCTTTCATCCAAGAGATCATTGATGTTTTAATTATTTCGTCCTGCATATACTCTTCTAATAGTAAGTCATATATTTTTTAAAATAATTTTTTTCCTCTCCAGTTAAAAGGATTAGGCAGGAGGTGATGTGAAAGACCCCTGCCTGAGACCCTGGAGAGCAGTAAAGAGGGGCCGTGACTCAGTGGAAGAACCTCTGCTTGGCATGCAGAAGGCCCCAAGTTCAATCTCCGGCATCTCCAGTTAAAAGGACCAGGCGGGAGGTGATGCGAAAGACCTCTCTGCCTGAGACCCTGGAGAGCAGTAAAGAGGGGCTGTGGCTTAGTGGCAGAGCCTCTGCTTGGCATGCAGAAGGCCCCAGGTTCAATCCCCGGCATCTCCAGTTAAAAAGGACCAGGCAGTAGGTGATGTGGAAGACATTCTGCCTGAGACCCTGGAGAGCAGTAAAGAGGGGCTGTGGCTTAGTGGCAGAGCCTCTGCTTGGCATGCAGAAGGTCCCTGTTTCAGTCCCCGGCATCTCCAGTTAAAAAAGTCCAGGTAGGAGGTGATGTGAAAGACCTCTGTGCCTGAGACCCTGGAGAGCGGCTGCCAGTCTGAGTAGACAATACGGACTTTGATGCACCCAGGGTCTGATTCCGTGTAAGGCAGCTTCATGTGTTCATGTGTCAGCTGTTTGTGATCCCAAGTGAGCCAGTTTTGGCCACGTTTCCCAGCTGGTTACTGGAAATCAATTCTTCCTTGGCATACAGAAGCAGATGTTTACTGGCTTGCTCCAGTTTACACAGTAATATTGCTTAATCCTTCCTGCAGAGATAGAATCATAGAATCGTAAGAGAATTGGAAGGTGCCATAGAGACCATCTAGTCCAACCCCCTACCCAATGCAGGATCAGCCTAAAGCATCCCTGACAAATATCCGTCCAGCCTCTTCTTGAAAGCTGCCAGTGAAGGGGAGCTCACCACCTCCCTAGGCAGCCAATTCCACCTTTGAACCACTCTGGCCGTGAAAAACTTTTTCCTAATATCCAACTGATACCTTTCTGCATGTAACTTAAACCCGTTGCTTCGGGTCCTCTCCTCTGCTGCCAACCGGAACAGCTCCTGGCCCTCCTCCCAAGGACAGCCTTTCAAATATTTAAAGAGAGCAATCATGTCCACCCCCTCAGTCTCCTCTTCTCCAAACGAAACATTCCCAAGGCCCTCAGCCTTTCCTCGTAGGGCTCAGTCTCCAGACCCCCGACCATCCTCATTGCTCTCTTCTGCACCCTCTTGCTCTGATTCAGTCCTGCCCGTGAGCACCGCATGCTCTTTCTGAGGTGCCTAATCGGTTTGAGGGCAAGCGCAAAGAAGAAGAATGAAAAGCACAGAGACGTTGCAACACCCAGCATCTGTATACCAGATGAGAGCCAGTTTGGTGTAGTGGTTAAGTGTGCAGACTCTAATCTGGGAGAACCGGGTTTGATTCCCCACTCCTCCACTTGCAGCTGCTGATGTGACCCTGGGTCAGTCACAAGCTCTCTCAGAGCTGTCCTTGAAAAAGAGCAGTTTGTGTCAGAGCTCTCTCAGCCCCACCCATCTCACAGGGCGTCTGTTGTGGGGAGGGGAAGGGAAAGGAGTTTGTAAGCCGCTCTGAGACTCCAAGGGTATAAATCCAATCTCCTTCTTCTTCTTTTACCTCACAGGGTGTCTGTGGTGGGGAGCCGCTCTGAGACTCCCTTGCGTGGTGAAGGGCGGGGTATCAATCCAATCTCCTCCTCCTTCTTCTATACCTTTTTTTTTTAATAAATAGAGAACATCTGTGGGGCAGCGTGGCACTTGGTCAGCAACGCTTGCCTGAGGATCATGAACACGAAAGACACCTACGACAACGCGAAACTGGCGTGCAGGAGTCACAGTGCAGCTCTGGTGTCACTCACCAGCCAGAAGAAGGTGGACTTTGTTATCAAGGAGCTCCAAAAGACCCAGTCCTCGGTGAGTAGCCCGTGGGAAGTTATGGGGGGGGGGGGGGGGGGGGGGGGACACAGGAAATAGGGCGGCTTGTGCTGTAAGGGCATGGGCTTCGCAGAAGGAGCCGTTGACCTTTGATAGCCCTTAGAAGGGAGAGTGTCTTTGGCACGTCTTACCGTTCGGTTCTCCCTGGGAATTAAAATCACTGAGAAGCCCCTCCTAACTGTCCTGTCAATTAAAGACGCTGGTTTGGTGAGCATACAGGACAGGGCCTTATCAGTGGCAGCCCCATGATTATGGAACAACCTCCCCAGGGGTGGTGCGTCCGGCCCCCTCACTGTCGATCTACAGAAACCAATTAAAGGCAGTTTCATTTAGGACCACATTTGGTTAAGCTTACTGGCAGTCCTGAATTGTGATTTTAAATGTTGGGAGGTTGTTTTTTTCCCGGACGGATTTTATTTGATGTATTGTATCGCTCTCGTAAGCCAACGTGAGCCCCGTAAGGAAGAAAGGCAGTGAATGAATGTTTTAAATAAACCAGGGCTCTTTTTGTAGCAGGAACTGCTTTGCATATTAGGCGACACGCCCCCTAATGTAGCTAATCCTCCAAAAGCTTACAGAGCTCTTCTTACAGGGGCTACTGTAAGCTCTTGGAGGATGGGCTACATTAGGGGTGTGTCGCCTAAAACGCAAAGGAGTCCCTGCTACAAAATAGCCCTGGATGATGGATGGATGGATGGATGGATGGATGGATGGATGGATGGATGGATGGATGGATAGATAGATAGATAGATAGATGGATAGATGGATAGATGGATAGATGGATGGATGGATGGATGGATGGATGGATAGATAGATAGATAGATGGCTCTTTTTGTAGCAGGAACACTTTTGGATATTAGGCGACACACCCCTAATGTAGCCAATCCTCCAAGAGCTTACAGAGCTCTTCTTACAGGGGCTACTGTAAGCTCTTGGAGGATTGGCTACATTAGGGGTGTGTCGCCCAATATGGAAAGGAGTCCCTGCTACAAAAAGAGCTTTGTTCTTGATGGCGTAACATGATGGCTGCATCAGGTTTTGGGTCGAGCACAGATGATGCCTTCCGTCGACATTTCTCTGGCCACTGTTCCTGTTTGCTGAAACAAAGCCAGAAATCCTCGGGGGTCCCCTTAGTCATCCAGCGTATTGTGCTTGTTGTTGTTCCAGCGAATCCTGCTTGTTCGTCAGCCTGGTGCAGGAGTGGGGCAGTCAAAAGTAAAAGAGGAGGCTGAGAGGGGACAGGACTGCCCACTAAAAGTATTTGAAAGGCTGCCACTTAAGAGGAGGGCAGGGGGCCGTACCTGTTGGCAGCAGAGGGCAGGACTCACAACAGCAGGTTTAAATTACAGGCGGGAAGTTACCAGCTGGACATTAGGAAGAATTTTTTTACATTAAGAGTCGTCCAGCAGTGGAATCGACTGTCTCGGGAGGTGGTGAGCTCCCCCTCACTGGCAGTCTTCAAGCAGCGGCTGGACAAACACTTGTCAAAGCTGCTCTAGGCGTTGCTCAGTTGATCAGGACATTGGACACAAGAACATAAGAGAAGCCAATGTTGGATCAGGCCAATGGCCCATCCAGTCCAACACTCTGTGTCACACAGTGGCCAAAAATACCAGGGGCCATCAGGAGGTCCAGCAGTGGGGCCAGGACACTAGAAGCCCTCCCACTGTTGCCCCCCCCCCCAAGGACCAAGAAGACAGAGCATCCCTTGCCCCAGACCGAGAGTTCCTATCTATACCTTGTGGCTAATAGCCACTGATGGAATTCTGCTCCATATGTGTATCCATAAGAACATAAGAGAAGCCAGTGTTGGATCAGGCCAATGGCCCATCCAGTCCAACACTCTGTCACATAGTTGCCAAAAATACCCGGTGCCATCAGGAGGTCCAGCAGTGGGGCCAGGACTCTAGAAGCCCTCCCACTGTTGCCCCCCCCCAAGGACCAAGAATACAAAGCATCCCTTGCCCCAGACCAAAAGTTCCTATCAATACCTTGTGGCTAATAGCCACTGATGGACCTCTGCTCCATATCTATATATCTAATTCCCAACTTGCCCCCTCCGTGCGGATACTTAAATCAGCACGGAGGGGGCAGCTGGGGGGCTGGGGGAGGTTTGTGCACACGTGGGCCAGTCCCCACGTGTGCACAAAAATAAAAAAAGTTAAAAAAAAATTCGGGGGGATGTTAAAATCCCCCCGAAAGTGCAAGAGCGTCTCCTGCGCGTGCGCAGGAGATGCT